GTGCAACTTGTCATTCAGCTCAAGGCAGTAGCATAAATGATGAAATAACTATCTTTGATTATAACCATTTTCTTGTCAAAAACGATAGAGAGTGGATTTGGACTGCTTTGACAAGATGTAGAGATTTAAACAAGGTAAAGTTTTTTTAGTATAATAATGATACTAATGATGATGTTAATAAGAAATGTATTATGAGTTCTTTTAAAGGAAACATTGAGAAATACAAATTACAGGATAAGACCGCAAAAAGAAAATACCTAAGGAAGGCTATGTAAATGCTCAGTGGTTTTTGGATAATATAAATAATCAATGTAATTATTGTGGGTGCGGCTTTCATCTTGATATGATAGGTGGAAATGTGTTAAGTAATTTGACTTGCCAAAGAAAAGACAATGATTTGACACATACTTTAGATAATGTAGTTGCTTATTGTTGCAGGTGTAATTGTAGTTGTAAATAGTTATCAAAAAAAGAAAACTAAGCTCTCTAACTCTGCTTGTCCAGCTCCCCTTATGAAAGGTTGGAATGAATGAGGGAAACCTCGCCCAAAATAATACTAGTTTATATCTTGGAATAATGTTATTTTGAGGTGCAACTGTAGTATTCTATGAGGATGGCCTTGCCCATCTTCCAATACATGTTTTCAAGTTTTGTTATCATTTGTTGGTTTTGGGGAACTTGTTGAAAAAATATTTTTTTCATTTTTTGGTTGGAATTTGAAAAGTGTGGGGGGGACCCTAGGGTTTTTGAGATGTTGAGATGGTTAGTTGTGAGAGTTTGGGTTGGGGTTGGAGCTATTGGAAGATGGGCAAGGCCATACCTAACTTCTGTAGACTAATTAAGCCACATGATTAATGGTGATCAAGAGGATCAAAGAGGATTGATTTTTTGTGCAGTTGAAGGCAGACAAATCGTTTAGCTTTGTTGCGGCAATTCTGACCTGGGGCCTGCGCGTTTCGGGTGAACCACTATGAAGTTCCTGAATGAGAAGCAGTGCGAATTGCACATTGTGTACGACTTCGCAAGGCTGCAAGTCTGCCCGTCAACAGTACAATCACACCACCTTCAAACGTGTCACTTCCAGCAAGTGATCAGAAACGATCCTGAGATCCTCACTGGACGAGGTCAGCTCTATGCAGCTCCTTGAGGCGACACACAGTCCAAGCGTTGCCATGGTGATGAGCTCCCTGGATGATGGGCGCATCTCGGAGCACGTTGAGAGTCAAATAGCGAAAGATGTAGGGGTCACAACGGACACTATGTGAGACTATGTGAGACTATGCGAAAGATGCGATCTTAAGGGTCCCTCGAATCCTGGTGGGTGGAACACGCAGATCTGGGCGACAACGGCAACAACAGTTGTCACTTTCACGCAGCCTGATTCAGCCGCAAAGCCCCATTACCTATGCTTGATTTGGTGACTGCCATGGACAATAAAGGTCCTCTGCCAAAAAGCGCCGTAAGGTCATCGGTCTTCGATGCTCGCCATGGAAGCAATATACGGAATTAAGTTCTTTCTTGCCCAGTGGAGATCCCTAGAAAGAGAGCTTACTTGGATGGTATTGCATTGAGTAGTTTCTGTTGTTTCTGGGTGTATGAGTCGCATGCAAAACCAAGCAACACGTTCTGTCCCTGCATGGAGATCGAGGCGGCTAAGTCTTTCATGTCCACATGTGTGGCTGACAATGATGATGGCTCTGCTGCAACCTAACGGCTGTTGGTGAAAGCATCTACACATACATACATAATTCTGGTGCAGTATTACCTAAAGGTTGAAGCAACATCTGGAATATTCTGGAATCCACATGCACTATCCAACGGCCTGTCAGCCTCTTGGCATAGACAGGTGTTCATTGCTGCTTCTTTGACTACTTACAATGTGAACAGCACGCTACATTTTCTTGCCCACTACATGCCTCATGCTGGACGAGCAGGGCAAGGGGCAAGACTCTTGAGAGATTCCGGAGAAACTCTTCTGCTGGAAGCACACCGAAAGCATCTTCAATCAAATATGTGGACAGCACTGCTGCATATGAAACTCCAGAGTCAGACCCAAGTGCCCGTTCCTGCAGAGGCATCCAAGCGTCCTGTGCATAAAGCATTGAAACGATCTGTTGCGTCCTGCAAGAGGCATTCTGACATATTATGGCTTTTGCCACCTAAGCGCGTTCAATGACCGCACCTTTGCCAACTTCGAACGTTGGAATCACAGCCCCATTTGCAATGGTCGGCATTGAGGTTCCAACACAAACGTGACCGAAAGAGAAGTCTCCAAGGCCGAGCAACGTGCTCTGGTACCACATGGAATCTATATGGAAAAGAAAGCGAAAGCTGGAAGACTGTCCTGCTTAAATCATCTTAAATCGGGGTTTCGGTTGAAGGTCCATATTGGCTACCAGAATTGGCCAAAACAAGGCAATCAAATGCAATAAGCGATAGGCCTTTGAGACTCACCCACATTCAGTGCTCCAATGAGCAACATTGAATGCGAAGGTTTACAAAAGTCTATATAGAGTGTAGAGATGTCTAGAGCCTCTACCTTGATTTGTGAAAAAGCTTGCAGAGGCTGCACCCATGAAGCTGAACTTTGGCCGGTGCCTTCAACTTACACATCCAATGACTTGGGATGACTTTGAGTCAGTTCTTTTGGCAAGTAAAGTAACCTGGGATCCGAAGGCACAGGCAGCAGATCCAATGGGGCCACATAAACCAGTGCATATGGGGCCTCTAAGCAACTGTCCAAGCAAAACGCTTGGTTGCGAGGCCTTATCAGAATCTGACGAGACTCACTATACTTATTATAGTAAGTGCTAAATCCTCACTTCATGTACGGAATTGCATTGAAGAATGATGAAGAATGTATATATATATACTATATAGTTGAATGCCAGATTCAGAGATGGCAAGATTCGGGAAGGCCACCTATGGCGAGCCTCCAGCTTCGATCAATTCGATGACGTCAAGTCCCAAAATTGCTGAACTTTGCAGCGTTTCTTACCAGCTCATGAAGTCTGCTTGGACAGCAAGGATGACATGGCAACCTCTTTACCAAGCGTGCTGAGGTCTATTGGCTAGCCCCTAGTAATAAGCAAATGCCGCAAATCCGAAATTCTATGACAACTGCCCACTTGGAGAGTATATCAGAATATCAACACAACTGTTATTTGAGTTGTTGGAGGAAAGCTGTGTGCAAGTTTGATCGGACATGCCCGGTATTGGAGTGTTGCACAAATCATTATGAATTAGACAACATTAGTGAGCTCACTGAGACGACGACGGCGACGAAGACGACGACGGCCATCCTACTCCTACTCCTACTCCTACTACTTCTCCTCCTCCTCCTCCTCCTGCTGCATGTGCATATTGAACTACCTTTATATGACCATCGTGCTGCAATATTTGTTCATGTCAACATATTCGCACAAAAGAGTATGGCAAATAGTTAGTTGACCAAATAAGTTGCATATGCTCTTGCACCCCTCGGCGAGAAGCGGGATCTTCGTTTGATATCATCAACATGCATGCTGCATGCTCCACAAAATGTGTCAACTGTACTACATGCAACAGGTCAAGTGGTCAGCACGTGTCAAACTCACAACCAATCCCCCGGCGAACCTATCTGTAAAGGCGAACGTGGCTGTCTACAAAGCTTTTCCGAAGCTCCTCCGCCCAAAGGCCCAAAGGGGATCGAAAGTTGCAAAAAGCAGCACGTCTGTCTCTGGAACAGAGTCACTGGCAACAAGGAACATCAAACAATATCAAACAATGTCAGACCTTTCCAAGTAACAAAAGTCTGCAAAAGGCACACGCGAACATAGCTTGAGCCGGTATTTTCTGCAGGAATCTCAGCGCCGGGCTGTTGACGTGCGTTTTGGTTCTGCTCGGGGCGGCCACTTGTGGCCACTTGTTCGAGCGGTCACTGGCCCTGTGCGGCCACGTGCGTTACTCAAGTGGCGGCAAGTGGCCAAACACATTGACCGGCATGTGTCTCGAGCGGGCTCACTTGAATGGGCTTTCCAGTGGAGGACGGAATAATGTGTAGGCGATTTTCCTCTGCACTGTGTGGAAAATGCCGAGTATTTTCCTTTGCATGGTGGCACGTATAGTCTGGTGCAGCTTTGGCTGGGGTCCCATGAGCCCTTGCCTGACTCGCTCAGCTTCCTTGAAAATTCAAGGTGAACCTTTGTCCACCTGTTCTTGCGGCCACTTGTGGCACGCTGGTTTTCCGCAGGGTGACGGGAAATTGTATGCGATTTTGAGCTGCTCCGTATGGAAAACATCAGCCATTTTCCAATGTGAGGTGCACTCCTCGGCCACTTGCGGCAACTTGCTCGAGCAGTTCGGGCACTTGCGGTATCTTGTGGTCACTCGAGTGGCTGGAAGTGGATGTGTTTTCGAAATCAAGACCGCGCAATTTGCGACCTCAATGAAATGTTCCCGAACATAGAGCACCCTTGAGTCATTGACATCTTTCAGGAAAATGAGGCGATCAAAAACTACCAAAACGTTGGCTGTGAATCTAGCAGTACTCACTGGTCTTTTACACTTCATGTGAACGTTCACCACTGTCCGTTTGTCAGTCCTCAATGGCCACTGAAGCTGGAAGGCCAGAAGACACCGTCAGGTAAGAAGAGTTGTGTGCACCTCTCTCATAGGCCGACATCAGGGTGCACCTGGCACAGGATGAAAAGCGCGGGGCGGGTGACGGCCCCTTGACTGCGACTTGACTACAGCACCTGAGCAGTCAACTTTGGACCAGTGTGTTGGCATGGACATGTTTTTTAACTTCAACAAACCAATATTGTTTCATATTGTTTCCAAAGGCGTCCCATATCGGCAAGCCTCGTCTGGTTGCTTCCGGAAATCCCTGCAAACAGCAGTGCCATCACTTGCATCCGCAACGGCATGATGTCAGCTTTCATAGTCAAAGGAACAAAGCTTGGCAAATGGCTGAAACTATATGAATCTCGCCTTCAAACCGAAAGGCTTTGCACTGGAGGTCACGCTGACACCAGCGGCAGCACCAGTCTGTAGTTGGCACCTCGGAATGACAGGACGGATCACCTCACTTGGATGCACATGCGTCTTCGACTGGCAACAGATTCTGGCTTTTGATTCCCAGGCAGGCAGCAAAATCATCTGTTGTGAACTTTGCAGCCGCGGGACGTGGTCTTCAACTTCCCAGCCTGCGCTCTCCCCACCTGCGTCAAGACACACCTCTCTCCAGATTTGGCCTGACAGACCTGGAAAACACTCAACCAGCTACGCGTTTCATATGTTTTCCTCAAATCTGAAGGCCCTGGTCACTTTGTGATCGCCCTGGCACTCTCCAAATATCGCAGAGATTATGATTAGGACGTTCCTCTCACTGCGGGCCTACCGGATTGTAGCTTGCACCAAACTCTTCAAGTCCGCACCTGGGGCCCGGACCCGTCGTCGGACCCGTCTTGCCGCCGCTCGTCACCATACAGACCCGTTGTGTGGCTGTTTGCTGTTTGCTGATTGCTCAACTCAGTAGGGCCTGTAGTGGCTATTCTGGATGAGATATATGACGGATGCTAAAGGACCATCACCCAAATGGAGCCAAGCTTCCAAAAGTCGTTCCAGTCATCCTTAGGAAAGTCCGCGTGAAGCCTCAGCAAGATGGACTTCCATCCCAAACAGCAACTTGCTTTGGAGCTGCAGGTCTACAATCATCCACTCAAATCTGCTTAAACCATCAGTGGCCGTTTGTACAAATCTGATACGTGCATGTGAAGCTTAGCGTAAAGGTTTCTCTTTTTCTTCTAAAACGCTAGAAAATCTGGTAAGTTGTCTGATCAAGATCTTGAGTCTGAGATTTTTGAATAGAAGCGACTGGGGCATGCGACGTGCCTAACTCCACAGTCCGTGACCAAAGGACCGCGTATATAGAAGCGACAAAGCTACCAGGAACTCTTCCAGAACCGAGCGCCTAGTAGCGATGGTCTCCAACCTAAAAGCAATCTGAAAACCCAAGATTAAAAACGCACCAGGGCGAGCCACCGGCTCCACCCCTTCCGCCCATGCTTTCTCGGTCAAGCAACTCTCCTATGATTGCTTCGCTAAGCTGGGAGTTCTGGCCAAGCAAGCGAGCGCTGAAAAGGTCAGCCAAGAAATGCAAGAAATGTGCATGATCTGTATGATTGTGTGTATGTAAGTATGTGTCTACCGTTTGACCTTTTTTGCATCCTTTTCTTCAAACAAGTTTGTGTTGTTTTTTGGGGGGCAACTAACATTGGTGTGGCATGCTGCTACGAGGGCTTAGCAACATAACAGTCGATGAGCAAGAGTCCAATTGATTGAGCTCAGGCTAAAATGTCGACTTGCACTATTCAAGTTCCCTGCCAAGAAGTCATTCAACAAAGCAGGTCTCGAAATATACTTTTTGTGATGCGATTCTTGTCCAGCCGCCAAGCAACCATGCACACCAAAACTAGCATGGGTATCGCAAATTCCTCAAGTATTGGCCGGTCAAACAGCATGAATATGTCCAACGAGAGATTCCTTTCGCAAATCACCACTCTCGCGCATTACGCTGACTTTCTTGCAGATTTGTTCCCAGAAGCTAGAACCCATCGGATACAGTAGAAATTACATCAGCAGGTTGGCGACCAACCAAAGCTCTCATGCCGGTCGCCCCGTTTATGGCCCCGGTGTTCCACCCAACCACAAAGAGCTTTCGACACATGCAAAGGATATCGGCAAAAAAAGGGGATCTACCCAATCCGATCGAAGATGAGATTGCTAGTCCACTGCATAGGCATAAGCATAGATCTCTGCCTCGAGAAGCAAAAGAGCAACTTCATGTGCTTTAAGAACCAACGGTTCTGGATAGACCATGGGGGTCCTCAGGAAATGTTGGTGCTAAAAATCACTCTGTGCGGTGTTATTCAACGAGGTGGCTGATTGTTTAGTCTCGTTTCGCTTTTTGTTTGGGTTGGGCTTAAAGGATTAGTTCATAATGTGTTTTATTGAGATATTATGAATTAATCGTGCTTATGCTTTCCATTTTCCTATTCCATCCCACCAGTGTTCAATAACACGGCTTTGTGTTAGACCAGTGTTTGTATCGTGCAGTTCATCCACTGCGATTGATGTATTTTTATCTGTGAGGTTTTCATACATTATTATCATAATGTCAAATCTCACGAATGACAATATTGTCATGTCATACCATTTGCTCATTTCCTTTCTTTCAACCTATCAATTACTTTATGCCAAACGGTGTCGCCATCCTCGTCATCAGGTGAAGGCATTTGATTACATTGTACAAATTATCTTATCTCTTCATATTCTTTTTCAATTGCTTCTCTGTCGCGTTGGTGTTCATCCTCACTATCACAGTCAGCATGTATACCCAAATTTCCTGAATTCAAATCTACAATCTTTACACCTGCCAACTTCTCTTACTATTTATATATATAGTCGTGTGTTTAAGTCTTTTTGGAGTCTTGTTGAGTTTCTGGTTTAGTGTCGCCACTCCCCTATTCCAACCCACCATTCGCTGACAATCGTTTGATGTTGTAGAAGGTGTCTCTATCCATACTTTTTTCTGAACTAAATGACCCAACACTGTCATAGTATGTAGTCGTTTTGTAGTAATGCTGTCATTCCTCCTCGTGTTTGTATTCTCTCTCCGTTCTTTCTTACAAGGTCTTCATCAAAATGCGCTCATAGAAAAAGCCTCCCCCTACTAGCGATGGTCTCCAGCCTACTAGCGATAGCCTCCACCCTACTAGGGCCTCCAACCTAGAAGCCTCGAAAAAGTCCCATTCTGGAAGAGGCTTTCAAAGTTAATGAGTTAATGATTCATCAAAAAATGTTTTAGATAGATATGTTATGTTCATATTCAATGTTTGATTTAAGATGATTTAAGTAATGATAAGGTTGATGACTATCGCTTCTTTGCTCAGACCCTAACTTACTTGAGGTCCACGGCTGTGATTGAGGACACAGGAATTTACCTTCGCGTCTAAACCAAACGCACCAATCACCCAGATCCGCTGCCCAAGCCACCTGCTCCAGATTTGTCCACTGGCCAGGATCTGAAGACAATCACGAGCAGAGCTGAGGGTCCCAAAATCTAGATGACTGGGACTCCAAGATCACCAAGCAACAGATAGCCATTCACTAGAGGCCAGAAATAGAGACAAGAACATATCGCAAATATGGTGAAGCCTCTTTCGGTGCGGGTGTTAGGCTACAGCAACAAGTGATTTTCTTAAACATATTGCAATACCGACCCCCTGGTATCCTTACAGAAGAAGGATTCAAGCAGTTGCCTCATGTTTGCAGATCCCATGCAGCATGTCGCCTGCAGTGTCAATTTCAAAGACTGTCATGACAGCGTGATGGTCACTACCACCACTGCCAATGTCTTGCATTGCCTTGACTGTAGACCTCAAGCAATGGGCTGTTCCAAGAATTGCCAGTGCACGAATAAGAGTCCAACTTGTGAAGAAAACTCGAATGAGTTTGTGTTCTCTCGACATTCAACCTAACAAACACGGGCTGGAGCTCTGAGAGCTAGGCGGAGGAAGATTGACGAAGGCATGGTCAATTCCACCCAGGACATGGCCTGATGCCCCGCTCTTCTCGATGATTGATTGGCTTGAAGCAAAAAGCATGAAACATCATGTGTAAACAAAAGCACTTCAAGCCTGACTGCACGTGGACCAAGCTCTTCCGTAGCTCCTCCAAGCTTCCAGATTGCTTTCTTCTCTCCGTTTTGGCCACCGCAGGGTTTTGTTGTGCAGAAACTGTGAGAAGTACAAGCAAGTTCGATGTGGCCGTGGTTGCAGTGCGCTTGTCAACAAACACCGCCGATTCCCATGCCTTAACGGTGTGAGACGCCGAGTTTGCGTTGAAGTCTCCAAGCAGGATGATCACATCCCCTGGCAATCTGACAGATATTGTTCCTTCCAGTTTGTTTTGCGCGAACAAAATGAAGTTGCAATGTAATGGACCTACGAGAGTACAGGTGTGAGCCAATACTGTGCGATTGTGCTGCCAGCTGGTGTATATAACATGTAACATACACTCTTACGTAGCGTGACTGGAAGTGCTGAGGCTGTAACCAGGCTCGCTGTTCTGTTCAATCACCCTGGCGCGGTCGCTCTCACTCCATCCGACGGCGAAAAGGAATCAAAGGCAAGGATGGCGGGAGATGTAAGGGGTTGATTCGCTTTGAGAGCTTTAGTTCTGTTTAGCATCCAATGTCCTGAAGTGCTTACTAACCAGTGTGTAGGACAAGTCGGCCCCCTCCCACCCCTGATAGTCCTAAGATTTAGGTAAGCTGCATCTGCGCAGGAAGATCTAAGGAGGGTGTCATGAGCCAACAACTGCTCAGCACATTCAATCTGCTTTGATTCAGTGGCGCCCACGCGCACCTGAGAAGATTCCTTGCAGTGCGTTTGCCACCACAGCATCCGCCGGAGTTGATGGCCAGAGGCCCATGAAAGTTGGCAAAGAAAACCTTTGAACAAGCAAAGGCCAGTAGCGAAGCTGAGAGTTTGCTGCTGCCAGTGGCTAGAACATGTTAGTCTTCGGTATCATGGCAGAAGCAGTGCGAGTAAAGCCAGCTCTAGACTCTAGACCTTAAGCACACATAGTTGCAATAGACAGCAATGGGTTTGCTGAAAAGCACTCAGGCTACACAAGTATCCTTTCAATGCCTTCACAATGGACCAACTTCACAGCAAATTATGGTTTGCTGATCTCAGAGTATCTAAGTGCAAGCATGCAGCTCGAAGTCCACTGGAAACGTGCCAAAGCCGAGTCCACATCACTCCTCTCTTGCCGAAAAAGTTCCTTGCAAAGTGACAAGGAACTCGATGCAGTTTCACATAAAGCCAAACAACAAAACATCGCTCAAAATCAAAATAAAAGCAAACAACAAAGCCCATTAAGGTGCAGCCCTGGGAGGATCCATCAAATCTATGAATTGTGATTTACGAGGCACAGGAATATGCTTCATTGTCAGAAAATTGTCCGAGTCACCAATACACATCTGCGGCCTGCACTCCATCGAAAATCCACCCAGCTTGTGACAATGCAAAAAGCATCTCTGGAATGTACATAGTATCCAACTTTCAAAGCAATCCAAAGTTACGCATTGCCAAATTAAGCACTATATGTTGCCGTCGCTAGGACTCTTTTGCAAAGAACAATGAATGAATCTCGAGGTATTTCGGGTTACGCTAGTTACCAGTTCTTGATTGTAAGTGTCTTGGAGGGTTTGATGCAGTATGTTTCAAGTTGCCGAGCAGCTATGTCTTCATGCCCTTTGCTGATGAATCTCCATGCAGCCTCGCAAAGTGACACGTTGAAAGCAAAGACAGCCACAACACGTTTCAGACCCGTCGTAGACTATACTCGCCTTAGCTATCTAATTTGCATAACTATCCTTGGTCGAAAAACAACAAACATGCCATTTGGTGGACCTTCCGCACAGCAGCACATTTCTGGTGTGGAGCACCAAACGTTGTAAAGCCTCAGTATCGGAACCGATAAGAAAGGCTATGACGGCTACGAACACCGACAGCTCCAATAAACTTGTAACATGCTTTGACATAATTGCTCACTCCGTTTCATGAGTGGCCTTTGTGAGTACTTGAGCGCTGGAGCTCAACATGAGCTGCGCTAATTCACAGACCATGGGAAGTCCTGAAGTGTAAACGGCTACCCGCAACTTGTAGGGCGCCATTTCCACTGTCTCTTGCGACTAGTCAATTTAGATGGAGCCAAAGGGCTGTCGAGCAAGCCTGCATCTGCAAGAACGCGATCCTTGTCTCCTCAGCCAGGTGATCTGGGTCTGACTGCAAATGAATTCTTGCAAGATCCCTCCATGATTCTACAGTATATATTACTATACTGTACTCAATTTCTTAGAATATCTGCCAAGTCTCCACATTCCTGGAAAGCAATCAGGTCGACTGGTTCTGCCCTGGGCTATATGCACCATGAAGCAATCGTGAACGGTTTTCTATTGCATAAGGACTTGGGGAGTTTGCATGGAAGATAGCTGTGTGGCCTGATGACTACTGCTGTTCTTCAAGTTGTTGCTGCCAGGAGGTGAGCATTGAACCGAGCTTCGCATGGGTCGCTGCAATAACTCCTCCTTCGCTGCCTCCGTTCCCTTTCATGGTGTTGTAGATCTTCCACCATTCAAGGTTGTAGCTCACAACCTCCCATAGTTGAGAGCTCACTGCTGGATGAAGCGTGGCAACAAAACAACTGCACCGAAATCTGTGCTCCCCCTGCCCAACTCTGCCAAGGCCCACCTTGATCCGAGCGATTTGTGATTGTGGTGTCGGCAATGTCTCAGTGAAAGGACTTCTGCCCCAAGTCATGGTCCTGACGGTTCATCTATATATATATATATATACACGTGTGACTTGTGAAGTTACTTTTGCAGTAGGTGACTCAGACTCCCTCCTGCAATGAGTCAATGTCGCCAGAAACGGCTGCAGGACAGTTTGTGTCTGTGCAATCTGGTAAGTCTTTACACTGTATGGGTATGTCAAGCAAAGACACTACATCTAGAAAGTTCTTGGTCGGTCAAGTATATTTTTTTTGTGAACATAGTCACAACATTCAGTATCAAGCAGCAGTGGTGGCAGAAGGTGGCCGACGAATACTCGAAATACAAAGGCAGCTGTTAACAGCTGAGGCTGAGGTTATAAGTTCACACGTATTGTGATACTGTATTGTGAGACTGCTGTCACAGATTGTGTCTGCACTGAAGAGCAGTCCTGGGCCTGCTAACCTCGCAGCAGCAGTAGAAACCAATTCCTCCGTCGTCTTGACAATCATGTCCAGCACCCATCTGCAAGATAGTTTTGGCGTACGAAAGGGCGTTGAAAAGGTTCTTCAAAGAAACGAGGTTCTTATAGCCTGATAAAGCGCTACTGTTGACCTGACCTATTACAGTAAAGATCTGAGGACCAAGCTTTTCAGACTAATTAAGGTGTCTAAGTCTAAGTCCAAAACCTAACAACCTGATATAACCGGCCACCGCGTGGTGGCGACCTGCAGCGTTTGGTGTGTCGTGTCTCAAATACAACCCGAAGCGTCGTTGAACTTCGGCCTTCCATGCAGGACAATGCCACTGCTCTGTCCAATTGCACGGGTAGGGATGTGCAAGCACTTTGCCTGAGCTGAAGCAGCCGAAGCGGAAGCCAAACAAGATCAAGAGAGTAATCAATATGATGTCCAAGATTGTCTACAAACAGCTTGAAATGCGACATCAAGAATCGAGCAGTCTCCTCAAATCTTGGTACCAAGTACCAACTAACTCCTCCTATACTTCCATCTTCAGTATCTTCAGTCAAGTGGGTTTGGGGCAGCAAACACTGCACTTCGCCTTGGAGCTGGTGTGTGGGGAGATTGTGTGAGTGGCTTCCATCAAGTGGCTGCTGCAAATGTCTCCCTTCGGAGAAGTTTGCGCAGCTGCAAGCTGCACCACCTGCATTAAGCAAGCAAAACACTTTCATAACACAAAGAAACAGGCACAAGAATGTCAATGCCAATGTGTTTGAAGATGGCATCCAGAAATGTGGATCCATGCTGATCCAGTGCATGTTAGACTGCTGTGTCCTGCAAAAAGATACTCCAGCCTGCTCATCTGTCTCGGAGCTGTAATCACACACGTCCATGACTGTACTTTGCCAATGTAGGAGGTCTTGGACTTGCCCAAATTTGTAAAAAGTCTCCTCAGTCGCTTTCGACAGAAATGTCTCAAACTGTTTCGCAACACGGATGACGGATTCCTTCAGAATGTTTTTCACAACTCACAACTAGACCAGGTCATACCGGGAACCCGATAGAGAGCCCGTAGATATTCTTGTCCAGGAGTCAACGTCTTGATCATCAAGCTCGCCCTCCAAGTGATTGTTCCACATTGCCACAGCTAGGATCGCAAGTAATGTTGCACCTGATGCACAAGGATTGGCATGAGGCATGAGGAAAGGGATGGACAGGGTTGCACATGCTGCAAGCGGGGAGACACCAGATTCACTGTGCGTGTTCAATGCAGCACAAGACGACTTGACTAGCAGTTGATCAAAATCTGGGTATGAAAACTGACTGGTAGTCTGAAGCTTGGCAAGACTTTACACAAGCACCTCGGTTCCACTTAGTTGTCAATGCATGTTTTACATCCAGCGACCGGTTCGGAAGTGCAAGCCAGGCAGCCAAAAGACACAGATGCCTCAGGACCGCGCAACAAAAGCATAGAAATGAAATCGGCAAACTGCTCACGTTTGTCAAGTCGGTTAGATGGTTTGGCCCCTTTGGCCCCTTCGGTTCTGGTGCTAAGTGCCCATGCTTCCACCGGCTGATCGATTGGGAACTCTTCCCGGTCCTTCATGCTTTGTGAGCTGAG